CCTTCGCTGGCTCTATTCCAGCGGGGTCTCCTTTAATGCCTTCCGCAACCAGGCTTGGAAGGCATATCAACAGGTGCTTCTTAAGCAGCCTATCAGTTCCCCGCGCGTTGTGCTCCCCAACCACAGCGAGGTTGCGAGTATGAGGGCGGTGGAGACCCACTGTGTGGAGCTGGCGGAGGAGTTGGAGGAGGTGAGGCAGCCATTCTGGGTGACTGGTGCCACCCTCCTCTCCGATGGGAGGAAATCACGAGACGGGAGACCGATCGTGAATTTCCTTCTTGTTGGCTCGCGAGGGGTCGTCGTGTACATGACGATCAATCGAGAGGGCGAGCCGGACGATGCAGTGCACGTCCTTCGGAGATGGGTTACCATCTTCCACAAGTTCAGCTTCGGTGGCCCGCAGCGGGTCAATGCGATATAAACTGAGTCCACTTCTGCGTACGTGGGGGCTGCAAGGGCATTGGCCTCGCTGACCATGCATCCTGCACGGAAGAGGATTACTTGGCTCCCATGCTCCATCCATGTTTGCAACAAATTGATGTCAGACATGGGGACGAGTTGCGACGCGTTTGTGGACGCGATCACACGCTCGTGTGCTGGTTGTTTTTTTCGAAACCCACCAGGCCGCCCTTCATTTTTTTAGGACGCGCAGCCCCAACAAGGGGCTTATTCTTTCTTGCGAGACGCGATTCGCGTCTGTTTATTCCATGCTAGAGAGGCTGTTGGCTCTGCAGGACACTTTGCAGGACATGATGCGAGGGGTTGACGCGCGGGCTTTTGCTTCCATCTCGTGGTCCGCCGATGTGTGCGTCATGGCGCGTTAGGTGCGCCGACAGATCAGATGGGATCCATGGTGGCAAAGGGTGGCCACCATCGTCCATATCATGCAGCCCGTCATGGAGTTGCTTAGGCGGATGGATCGTGGAGGACAATACATGTCCCTCATGATCGAGTGGACACAAGATCTTGTCCGCCGTGTCACGAACGCATGCGCTCCTTTGGGGAAGTCGTTCGCTGACCGGATCATCAGGCGTGTGCAGGCTCGCACAGAGCACATGCTTGAGCCGGCTCACTGTGCAGGGTTCTTACAGAACCCCCACAGGCGACACGTTCGCTACGTTTCGGGCGAGGTTCATCGGTACCATACTTGGCTTGTGGGGCAAGCCAAGAGGTACATTCTGACGCAGACGGGTTTCGAGTTGGAGGGTGCGGAGTACATCCTTGCATGTCGGTAGTTTGAGGACTTCCACATTCAGCAGGGCAGGTTCGGGGATTGGGACGGCCCGGAGGGGCATGCTCGTGGGCGCGCGTGCAGCGGCGACGACGAGACGATTGAGTGTGTGTCTTGGTGGTCTCAGTTCGGGGCGGGCGCGCCAGAGTTGCAGCGGTGCGCTCTTCGGGTGATGCACATGTGGTCTTGCGCCTCTCCAGCGGAGAGGAACTGGGCAGTCCACGAGGGCATTCACACGAAGAAGCGCAACTAGTTGGCCTTCGAGAAGGTCGTTCAACTCGTTGAGATCACCGCAAATGTGCGGTTGACGGAGTATCAACGGGTTGGATGCGGTTAAGTGCTGCCATGACAGTGGGACGAGGGCATGCTGGATTGCCAGGCAGGACTCGAGGTGGAGCCTGTGTGCACGGGCATGGGTAGGGGGAGGACGAGGGAGGAGATTGCCCGTCAGATTGCGCTTATTACCCGGGATCTGTGTATCTTTTTAACGGAGAACGGGCGGAGTTAAACGCCTGAACACCCGTTTAACGGGCCCCAGGACCCCCCTCGAATCACGTTAAACGCAAAAACGGGGGCGTCGCGTCGAATTCCAAACAATGGAATTCGCGCGTTGGGCCTCGGATACGTGTGCCTACGTGCCCGAACACTCAAACCGGGTAAAAAAAAAAAAAAATCACCCCCAGTTATCACCCCCCCCACACAACCCTAAAGGCCCAAAAAACCCCTATCTGACCTCAAACACACCCCCGGACCCCATCCCCCCAATTAGCCCCACCCCCAA